TACAGAGTCCTGATGACTCCTAACTTGTGCTCCAAAGGGTGATGGGAGTCAAACTGCAAATACTGGTCTGTGTGGGTGGGTTTGCGGTACACCTCAGTTTGCAAATGTCCTCTATCAGAGACTGAGACCTCACAGTCCAAGAAAGCCAACTTGCCATTTTTTTCATCTTCTCGTGTGAACTTGATGTATTTATCCACAGAGTTGATGTGGTCAGTAAAATGTTGGACTTCCTGAGATTTAATTTTAACCCAGGTGTCGTCAACATACCTGAACCAATGACTTGGTGGTGTCCCTGAAAAGGACGTCAAGGCTCTCTTTTCTACCTCCTCCATGTACAGGTTGGCAACAATAGGAGAAACTGGAGACCCCATAGCACACCCATGTTTCTGCCTATAATATTGCTCCCCATATGTGAAGTAGGTTGACTGCAGGCACAGTTTCAAGAGTTGACACAGTTGTTCTGTGGAAAGCGTGGTCCTGCTGCTCAGAGTGGTGTCTGATTTTAATTTTAAACTGACCACCTCTACTGCATCATCAACAGGAATGCACGTAAAGAGTGATGTGACATCAAAAGAGACCATTGTTTCATCAGTCTCCATGATGACATCCCTCACCTTATCCACAAAGTCCATGGTGTTCTGTATGTGGTGTTCTGAGCTGCCAACTAAAGGGATGAGTACAGACGCCAGATATTTGGAAACATTGTAAGTGACAGAGTTAATCATGCTAACGATTGGTCTTAAAGGTACACCTTGTTTGTGGATTTTAGGTAAACCATAAAGACTAGGTGTGGCCTCCCCTGGGTACAGTCTGTGGTACAGAAAATGGTCAATAGCCTTGTCCTGCTCCAAAATTTTCAGGCAATCTATCAATTTCTTCTTGTAACCACTTCCTGGATCTCTTTTCAGAGGTTCATAAGTGTTTACGTCACTAAGGAGTGTCATAACTTTCTCATGATAGTCTTTCTGGTTCAAAATCACTGTGCACCTTCCTTTGTCTGCTGGGAGAATGATGATGTTTTTGTCCTTGCTAAGAGTGGTGAGTGCATCCCTCTCCTCTCTACTGATGTTGGAAGGTGGTGGTTTGGCATTGCTGAGGCAGGATGAAACTTTGATTCTGAGCTGTTCTGCTTCAGCCTCTTTAATTTTGTTGTTGCGGATGGCTGACTCAGTGAGAAGGGGTTCTCTGCAGACCAAAAGTGGGCGTTTCTGGCGAATAGGCGTTTATGGGCGGCGAACACTGATTGGATAACAGTATTTAATAGGCGTTTATGGGCGTCGAACACTGATTGGATAACAGTATTTAATAGGCGTTTGTCGGCGGCGAACACTGATTGGCTGTGGGTAACCCTCAAAGTCGCGAGTCATTGATGAGGTAACGTTTCTTTGCGATGTTTGACAAAGAAATATGGTTTATTGTACTTATAAAGTATGTTATGTTTTCACTTATGCATTTTATTGAAGTACGTTTATTGTAGGTCACGATAGTTTCGACCGTTCTCTCGTTGTTGTCGTAATGCACTGAGGTAAAGTGAGCCTCCACTCGGCTCCTTTTCAAAATAAAAGCTGAAAATAAAAGTTCTTAATACTTGAAAAATAAATATTTAAAAGCTGTGTATAACTGAAAAATATGAAAAACAAATAAATAAAAGTTGTTATTAGCTGAAAAATAAATAAATAAATAAATAAAAGCTGTTAATTATATCTATGTCTTTCTGCCTTGTCAGGGACCACTCTCACTTCAGACTGACTCTAGAAGACCCCAAGATGTTGCTCAACAATGTTGACCAACATCTGATGTTGACTTTCATTACTCAATAATGAGTAATAACTTATTCAATAAAAAGTCTGTAATTTGTCAATAATAGTCAATAATTCATTCAAGAATAGATTATGGGTGTTTGGTATGGCTCAGTGGCTAAAATGGGTTGGATGTTAGAGAAATTACTTAATTTTCAATTACCTGAATGCACAAATACCTTCATTTATAGTTAAACTTTAGGAAATCAACTTTTTTTTTTCTTGTGAAAAAAATATCAAAATTAACTTTAAAATCCAATCCAGGATTAAGTAACAACTAGCAACACCGTAACTGTACTATGTTCTGTGTTTCCAACAGATGCTACGATGACTTCTAAAAATGGATGTCCCAATAAACACAATAAAAAAATTCAATGATGCATCAAATGTTGTCTGAGTATGTTTTAAGGTAATAACAAATGTGAAAACAGATATTTTTAGGAATGTCTGAAGCAAAGTTTTTCAATCACCGCCGTGTGGTTAATATCTGCTGTTCTGCTGGAAGTGAAAAGACAATCGCCGTATTGTTTACTTCCTGTAAAACTGATTAATAAGCTGTCGTTATTTTCAATTTTTGCCAATTAATGTAAATGTGTGATGTGTTAAACTTGATTCTGTTAATAAATGACCCACTGTCGTTGGTGAGTCAAAGATAATTAACGTCTCACGTCCACATTTTATTAAATTCAGATGCACGTTATTATACAGTCCAGAAAAATGAAAGAATCCGTTTTATCTATGAATATATGACAGCATATGTTCATACTACATCTGGTGGCCTCGTACGGTTCATAAATGGACTGTTATATTCGTGTAACAATTGATATTACATGTTGGCATGAAAAGTGCAGAGTTGCTGTGTTGAAACGCAGCGCAGCTGCGATGCTCAGAGAGAAAATACAGCAAGGTTCTTGCATGCAGTGATGTTTTGAAAGCTGATATTGAGAGTCAATATGTCTGTTTAAAAGCTGAATTGTACGTCTGTTATGTGTAACTGAAGCTGGGTTTGTGTGGAAACATTATTCTGTTTGAACTGTGGTCCAGACGTGACTCTGGTCCGGCTCGTTTTGACAAGTTCGAACGAGTTGTTTTAAATGGTTTAAAAGACGTTTTGAAACCGAAGCGCCGCCTCCGTTAAGCTCAGAGTTGATTCGTTACATTTTTAACAGAAAATAGTACATTTTGACAGTTTAAAAGACGAAAAGTTCACGGACTTGTTCAGGCTAAATGCTAAACGCTAGCTGGAAAAACGATCCGTGATTGGTTGAAATCAGCTGCTGTGGAACGCTTTGATACGCTGAGAAGTGAGTGACGTGCCTGCGTCACTTCCTCTGAGTCAGTCAAATGTTGTCTGAGTATGTTTTAAGGTAATAACAAATGTGAAAAACAAAGAGAATTCCTGAATCTGACTTGTGTGCTTTGATGTGTACATAAGTTTATTGGAGGTCCTGAAACAACTTTTCTGAGAACACAAAGATTTTTATTTTACCTTTGGCCAAGATGTCAGTTTGAAATGAGGCTGCTTACTGCAAAACCAAGAGTTTTTTTTAAGACAGACAGTCTTCATTTGTATTGTTTTGTCGACTAAGCTAAATGTAATTTCTAAAATATGGATAAATCTGATCTCATCATGCAGCATAAGCAACTGGGTATAGGTGTGAGGGCCAAAAGTCTGGTTATGTACCGACTCCTAAATGTGCTTGTTTTCTACTGAAACATGGAGTAGGGTTGACCTTTAAAATGTGAGACAGCTGATGAAATTAACCAGTAAACAGAATACCTGCTCCAGTTGCAGAAATCTTACAGAAACTGACAATCACTCCATCTGTAGTGACTGCAAGTTGAACAAGACAATGTGAAGTTAAAGGAAACATCCTTTGTCCCAAGGCCAGTTTAAGTATCATTAATATTTTTCTTTCTTTATGAATCGATTGTAACTTTTTTCACATTTTTCAACAACCAAAATGGAATTTGTTTTTTAATGTTATGGCTAGGTATTAAAAAAAACCTAACATTTAGCTCTCCCCACTACCCAGTTATGTTGCTCTTATTTTGAAATGTAACCGGAAGTTCTGTGTTAAGAGAGTCGAAAAAAGAAGTTATGGAGACGCCGCGGCAGTATACTGGAGCAAAGTCGAACCGAGACGCCGCCAGTGTTGAACCTGAGACGCCGCTAATGTCGAACCGGTTAACACCATAGACATAATATGCCTGTGGTTAACACAATCTGCCAATAACGCCTTGTTTTTAGACATAATGTGTCTGTGGTTACGGCATTTTATCGTTCAGCCTTTTTTTCTATCGTCCAATCAGATGTGGCCGGCCAGACACGCCTATTTTTCTATCGTCCAATCAAATATGGCCGGCCAGACACGCCTATTTTTCTATCGTCCAATCAGATGCGGCCGACCAGACACGCCTATTTTCATATAGTCCAATCAGATATGATCGCCCAGATACGCCTTCAGAATTTGGCTGCAGAGATACCTACTTGGACTCAGTAGCTGTGATCATCTCCACCAGAGGAATTCTACTTGGTGCAACCACAAAGTTCAGTCCCCTGGCAAGAATCTCTGTCTCTGGCTGGGTGAGCTGTCTGTCAGATAAATTCTTCACCCACTTTTCTGTCTCCCTGGCATGTAATTGACTACTGGAGTGTTGTCCTACACTGAATGTGTTGTTATTGGAATAGTGATGTTGTTGATGAGTTATTAGTAAGTTAAACTTGTTTTGTTGTCGAGTCTTGGACTTGACATGCTGTGCTTTGCTTTGTTTTGGGTTTTTTTGAATGTCCAGAGGACCAGATTTAACTTTTTTAGATGAGCCAAATACAGTTGAACTTACTTTCGTTTTCTTATAATAAAACTTCTCTGAGTCCATCATTTGTTCCACAATTTGCCCTCAGCAGCCAACCTTTGGTTTAGTTGACAGAGCTGTCGAAGGAAGCCATCGTTCGGTCCGATTTCTCTTTTCTGTCTCACAATAGCCAAAGCCGTGTAGACGTCCATTTTTTGGCGAAGCATCAGGTAGGCGATGACTAAGGTAGGCGATCGGCTGTATCCCTCTTTGCAGTGAACGTACACTTTGCCTGTAAAAGACAAAACATCCAAAGTTCTAGCTATGACTAGATGTCCAACAACTGGGGGGTGGGGGGGGGGGGTTAAAATAAAAAAATAGAAGAGACTAGGGCTTTAACAGACTACTCAAGTAATCGACAGGTCGATTCCTAGGACATCTTTTGAGTTTTTAAATTTCACGTCGAGTATTCGTAGTGACGTCATTGATTCACATGTCACGTGATCCGCATCGGGCTACTAGTAGAAGCTACCAAATGGATTCCTCCCAGCAGATGGACTGAGTGGAGCAGGCCCATCTTGGCAAACAGGTAGAAATGCATCAGTAGTATGGAAATATTTCACTAAAGATGAATCTTCCGGTTCAACTATCGTAAGGAAACAGAAAATGAATCAACTTCCTGACTGTTTGGAGCTCGTTGCGAACCGGTGTTATACCATATTCTGTGACCACCGTATATTGTGACTGTAGCTGGCGGTGTTGCATGCACTGTTGCAGGTCACAGAATATGGTGTAACGCCAGATCCAATTGACCGAACCAGAACCAGCTTCCTCTGACCTTGTTTCACAAACTAAAAGCAAAAAATATTAATCTCTAAACCTATAAAAAACCTATAAACATATTAATCTCTAAAACTAAACCTAATGCACACCAAAGCTGGTGGTGGTGCCCCACTGTTTTTAGTTTTGTTTTTGAAATGCTTCATTTTATTTCTTTCACTTTTGCAGCTTAATAATAGTAACTAATAATTTTGGTTTTCCTGTGACTTATTTGCAGTATGATAAATGGTATGAGCATAATATATGTTCCCAATGTTTTGTTGGTCTTTTTTTGTAAATAATAAATTACATTTTTTTGCGGTTTTATTTATTTTTTTTCATCTTGAGATCCTATGATGTCATCAACTACTCGAGTTCTACTCGAGTTTTATTATGTTAATGTCAAGTTTAAAAATTATGTAGTCGTTCAACCCCTAGAAGAGACTCCTTTCAGCTCATTATAAGTACATTTACAACTTAACCATTAAAATTAGGGATAATCAGTTCTTTTTGAATATTCAAACATTGAATTTCTATATATTTTTTCCCTTTCTTTCAGCTGCTCCCTTCTTCCGGGGTCACCACAGCAAACTAACTTGCACGAAGACTTGGCAATTTTTTATTACGCCGGATGCCCTTCCTGACACGACCACAGACCACCGAACTACCACAGCCCTCTGTGAGAAGAAGAGAGCTGCTATCTAGGGCACTCTAGTGCTTTCTTCCTTTCTCGCTCTCAACAAAGACGGACCTCTCTTTCCCTCTCCTGCCTCCCCTCCTGCTTTTGCTCTTTTGCTCTTTGTCTTGTGAACCTTTTTCAGAGCCCCTTTTTGCATATTTTCCGATTTGTAACCTATGGATTTGTTCAGCTGGTCTCTCAACGCAATTGATCAGATTTTCTCACACGAAGACAGGATTAAGGAGAGCCCTCTTCTTGGAAGCATAATTGGATTCATGATAACTGGATTCTGCATTTTGGAGTTGGTGGAAATCTGGATTGTCGACAAATTCGGAAATGTCAGCAGCTGTTTAAGCCATTTGGAATGTGTGTGCCGGGCTTGACAACACTCAGACTCTGTAAGAACTACAAACCGGATTCCAAAAAAGTTGGGACACTAAACAAATTGTGAATAAAAACTGAATGCAATGATGTGGAGGTGCCAACATCTAATATTTTATTCAGAATAGAACACAAATCACAGATCAAAAGTTTAAACTGAGAGAATGTATCATTTTAAGGGAAAAATCTGTTGTTTCCAAATTTCATGGCGTCAACAAATCCCAAAAAAGTTGGGACAAGTCCATTTTTACCACTGTGTGGCATCCCCCCTTCTACTTACAACACTCAACAGACGTCTGGGACAGAGGAGACCAGTTTCTCAAGTTTAGAAATAGGAATGCTCTCCCATTCATGTCTAATACAGGCCTCTAACTGTTCAATCGTCTTGGGCCTTCTTTGTCGCACCTTCCTCTTTATGATGTGCCAAATGTTCTCTATAGGTGAAATATCTGGACTGCAGGCTGGCCATTTCAGTACCCGCATCTTTCTCCTACGTAGCCATGATGTTGTGATTGCTGCAGAATGTAGTCTGGCATTATCATGTTGAAAAATGCAGGGTCTTCCCTGAAAGAGATGACGTCTAGATGGGACCATATGTTGTTCTAGAACTTGAACATAGTTCTCTGCATTAATGGTGCCTTTCCAGACATGCAAGCTGCCCATGCCACAAGCGCTCATGCAACCCCATACCATCAGTGATGCAGGCTTCTGAACGGAGCGTTGATAACAACTTGGGCTATCCTTGTCCTCTCTGGTCTGGATGACATGGCGTCCCAGTGTTCCATAAAGAACTTCAAATCGTGACTCATCTGACCACAGAACAGTCTTCCATTTTGCCACACTCCATTTTAAATGACCCCTGGCCCAGTGCAAACGTCTGAGCTTGTGGAGCTTGCTTAGAAATGGCTTCCTCTTTGCACTGTAGAGTTTCAGCTGGCAACGGCGGATGGCACGGTGGATTGTGTTCACTGACAATGCTTTCTGGAAGTATTCCTGAGCCCATTCTGTGATTTTCTTGACAGTGGCATTCCTGTTTGAGGTGCAGTGACGTTTAAGGGCCCGGAGATCACGAGCATCCAGTAGAGTGAGTAGAGCGATTGTTCCAGATTCTCTGAATCTTTTGATGATGTTATGCACGGTTGATGATGATAACTTAAAAGTCTTTGCTATTTTACGCTGGGTAACACCATTCTGGTATTGCTGCACTATCTTTCTGTGCAACAATGGTGGAATTGGTGATCCTCTTACCATCTTGGCTTCTGAGAGACACTGACACTCTGAAAAGCTCTTTTTATACCCAATCATGTTGTCAATTGACCTAATTAGTGTTAATTGGTCTTCCAGCTGTTTGTTATATGCTCAATTTCCTTTTTCCAGCCACTTATTGCTACTTGTCCCAACTTTTTGGGGATTTGTTGACACTGTGAAATTTTGAATCAACATATTTTTCCTTTAAAATGTCACATTTACTCAGATTAAACTTTTGATCTGTCATCTATGTTATATTACGAATAAAATATTGACATTTGCCATCTCCACATCATTGCATTCAGTTTTTATTCACAATTTGTTTAGTGCCCCAACTTTTTTGGAATCCGGTTTGTATCTGTGGACCTGATCAGGTAGGACTGTGGAACTTCTGGCAGTGTTCATGGACAGTTGGAAGGAAGAGATCCTGGAGAAGTTGTAAGCCTGACTTCAGCGTAAGTAATCGCAATTCAGATGTTTGGAGCTGCCATGAGATGTACTAGTGAGACTGTAAAGGCAGACATGGAAATTAAAGAGCTCAGCCTGACCCAAAACAATATAGAAATCTGAATCTGTTCTGGCCTTGGAAGGTTGAGTATCTCAATTCCTCCTTGGATGTTATGGAAACAAGATGCCCAGTCTTTGCCATAAAGTACTTTGGGATTTAAAAGCCACTGGGATGTCATGCTTAGAAAATAAATGTCAGTTTCTCTGAAATTCCCACAACATACGGAATGACCGTAGGTCTAATTAGTATCTAGATCTCCAATGGGAGGCTCTTACCTATTTGCTTAGTTAAATCCAGGTGGTGACATTTTTTTTGGCTAGGCAGTGTACTAATAAACTAATACAAATCACTCTTTTATTCATTTTGGTTTACTTCTCTGACCTTTTCCATTCTTATGTGCCAGAGCCTTCTCTATAAAGGCTGCAACTTCTTCGAAGTAAACGCTGATGTCAAAGTGGTCGGTGTCGTTGGCCGGTACGCCGTGGTAGGTGATCCCTGAGCCAGAGTAGAACTCTGTGCTGGTGTTGACGTGCATGTATGAGTTTCCCTCCGCAGCATTCAGTATGTGGGTGATACCCAGACGTTTGAGACGCATCACATTCATCGCCACAAACCTGCATCGGGGTGTTTAGAAGAAAAGAACAGAACAATTAATAAAAATAAAGAAAACATCTGATTGTTTTATTGTGCATTAGGGTGATGTTAAATGTAGCATAAAATGGCATATTTATGACATTTTTGTGTTTAGACTAAGTTCATTTTGTGCACTACAATACTGATTGGCCAAGTCAACAATGATGAAAAGTAATAGGTGAGTGGCACAGACATGAATAAAAAAAAAGACACTAACACATTTAGCTTTTTGCTGTCTGTAGGTCTTACAAACCTGCTTCCTGCCTCAGCCCTACTGGATGTTAATGTTTGCCAGAATTACTTTTCTTCTACTGAACTTTAAATCCCTAATAACCTGAATCTATTATTTTACATGAATATTAGAGCCCGACTGATATATTGGTAGGGCTTATATTTTAGGCTGATATACATATGTGGGGACCTATCGGTATCGGTTGTCCCATTATTCACAGATATAAGCACTTCTAACGTTCACCCACAAAATGCTGGAATCAGACGAAATTGTACAATGTATCCAGCAGAGGGCTCAAGAGGACTACTTTCAAGTCATGACCTTAAGTTTCACTTTTGACGTTCAGCACAGATGAAGCAGGGAGCAATATTGTGTAGAATATTTTACTGAACAGAGCATGGTAAGTTTATTTTAACTGATCTGTAAAATAAATCAACAATAATAAATTTGCTTCAATCCTCCATCCTGCTTATCATTATCTACGTGCCTCTCAAGTTAGCAAGCTAACGTTAGTGTTCAGTTTCACTGCCTTCACAACATTAGCCCCGTTGTCAGTAGTTATAGCAACGAGTCCTGTTGGATTGAGCTTCCAGTTTGTGAGGACATCCAGAGTTAGTAACGTTATCTTTGTCGTCCTCAGTGAAATGAATTGTTTGTCTGAAATCTTTACTTCTTTAGAAAAAAAATATAAATGCTGCAGTCAATACTAATTAGACCTTCACCATACATGACAATGAACAAATATAATGAACAAAATACATACAATGAACAGTGTTTCTTTGTTTAATTTATATTTATTTAACACACTTGATAACTTTATGGTGAATAGTGGAGGATAAAAAAATATGAACGCACGTTAAGAAGACTGTTTTTATGACCAGTGCACCACTTGTAAACCTACAGTGGAACTATGTATAGAATGGATCTGATTAGCTTAGCTTCATGGTTGCTAACAGCTGCGCTAAATAAACAAGCCCTGCTCCACACATTTACTCTTGGGACTCAAAGCTCAAAATTTTTTAGCCATTATATCGGATATCGGTTATTGGTGGTCGCGTTCCACTCCCAATATCGGCATTGGTGATAGCTAAAATTTCCATATCGGTCAAGCTCTTAATAATAAAAAATAAATAAATAAATAAGACTTTGTTTTGTCTTTGGACTTTGTTGTTTTCAACCAGTTTGACACGACTGTCAACAAGGAAGAAGGCCGGCAATGGAGGAGGGGGCATGCCAAAGAAACCATCTTAGCACCAACATAACTGGTTTGTTCCACTTTAGAGTAAGCTGTAGGGGGAAGAATAAGTTTTGTGTTGTGTGTTTTCTTGACTTATGAAGCCTTCTGGATCGAAGGTGAAACGTTTCAGCACAAAAGAAGAAACTGTCCAGATGAACTGACTGAAACATGTTGGAATCTAAACAATTTTTCTAAACTCTAAACCAGGTCTATTCAACCAAACTGCTGAGAGGGCCGCCAACAGCTCGGGGGCCAGACATTCAATGATTAAAATCATTATATAAATAAACCAAAGTTTAAAATGATCTGTTACCTTTTAAATTTGTTTATTTTATTGCATTGAATCATAAATGCAATAACCAGAAACCAAACCGAGAACCCCCCCCACACACACACACACACACACAT